CTGACCCAGTGGATTTAGAAACACAGACGCTGCTGTGCGGTTGGAGCGTCCAACTCTCTTCTTCGGCTTAGACTCAGAGCTTACTTTGGCTGGTTGAGGTATTAGTGTAGCTATAGTTACCTCTGTGGGAGCGATCTTAGTATTTACAAAATGCGTGATTATTTCAGTCAACCCAGCTTACTTTTTCATTAGCAAAGGTAGACAGTCGACAACTGAAATGACTTGACATGTTGGACCAAACCAAAATGTGTCAGTAACTTTGTTTTTCTGTCTCACTTCTTGGACGGATTTGCCTACACATTGTGGACAGTACGATCTAATGCAGCTAGAACAGGTTACCCCGATCTTAAGGACTTTACTGCAATTATCTGCTGAATATGGGCGACGTTGAACCATTGTAGTGCTAGTGGTCCTCTTATTGTTTGCAGTTAGCAATATCCGAGCGATCTTTGTGGTCCTCGTACTCACATTCGATAATTGTTCTATACGCCAGGCGTTACCCAGAAGCACGTCAAAACACGCACACGAGTTGAGAGTTGTTCAGCCGCACCAACGTCAGTCGTCCGCGACAGATGGATGTCTTACCGCTCGGACTATCGGTTCAGCGGTCGAACGACTCACGGTTGAACGCACACACCCATACAAAGCGGTAGTGTGTATTGATCGGGCGATACAGTTGGAGCGCTGATAAAAGTCCCTAAGTACCCCGGACTAGATGTTCGGTTGATGAGCGAACCAAAATGACTGTAACTGTTATGCTGCAACATGCACGGATGCTTGCCGCGTAGTTTGGAAGTTTTCGGCTTCTTCTTCCGAATGAGACGAAAACGTTTCCCCCAAAAGCTTCGGTTTGATGTGGTTACACAAGTGGAACTCGGCAAAGAATATGCCAAAACTGAGAACTGGAGCAAGAGTATAATCCACACGGGTTAGATCCAAGAGTTGGGAAGCACTGAGTAGTGCTTGTCGAACTGGTTCGAACAAGCGCACGCACCATTATTGGGTGGGGAGAAGTGGAGTGGGCACAGAGAGCAAAGGGACAGCCGAGTTAAAGTGCGGCCGTACAGCGTGACACCAATGCAATTAAGAATAAGGGACCGGGACAAGGACCACAGCTGAAGCTCATCCAGACTGATTTGCAGAGTTGTTGATGATGCAGCAGTTGGAGCAATGCTGCCTAAGACTACGTCATCCGCGTACTTACAAATAATAAATTTGGGGGATTTGGAAGCATTTCGATGTATAGAGAGCAAGGAAGAGGCAAGACACTGCTCCTTGTTAGACGCCCATCATCTTTGTGTAAGACTTTTTACCGTTTAGTTGGGTAAAATGAGGTCGGTTTACGAAGTAGTTACTCATTAGGTCGCACACCACTGGTTGAACACCATTCGCAGAGAGATGATTAAGCAAGACTGATCTGTTGACACTACTAAAATCGTTGACGTAATCAAAGAACTGGAGCCGCACATTCTTGCATTTCGCATCCAGTGAAGTGAATAACACGCTACGGCATTCAACATGGAACTTCGGGGTCTGTACGCAAACTTAGATACGTCCACGGCTGGAATGTATGTTAAGAGCTAAGGCACAAGTAGCCGTTCGAAGACTTTTAGCATGACGGATGTACAGGCGATCGGACGGAATTTCGTAGATCCATTCTATGATACGGACGTTATTCTGACAGTCCTCCAAATGTCGGGAATAATTCCACCTTGTAGGTACCGATTAAAAAGGTCCATTAAGGGCATGGTGAGCGTATTGGCACTCTCTGTCAAGACAACTGATGAAAGAGCATTCGGTCCATTAGCCTTCCTTGAGGTCACGGTTGACTTCAGCGTGTTGGAATGTAATTTTTAAACCAGAGCCAGCGAAAAAGTCATAGAGGATGAAGGGGTTGTGGGTGCTTCCAGTGAAGAACAGAGCTCAAAATTGAGTTCCTCTACATCCACAGATCCAATCTGCTTGTTAGGGCTTTTACTACAAAGCCACTTTAAAAGTCTCCATAGGTCTCGGCAGTTGCGCTTGCACATAACCGCGTCGCTTTCTAAATTATTCAGCCATGAAATCACAGTTTTTATTGCTAGATAGAATTGTTTGACACGAGCAGTCATTTTAACTCTGTAGGCATGTTCTTTTTTCTTTCTACGTTGTTTGAGTGTTGGTGAGGAAAATCTATTGACTCCTAAGTGGATGGTTTCGACCGAGCAGGGAAGATAACAGCCAAAGTTAAGATAATCAGTGAAATGATCACATTGAATAGACAGATCTTCGCTGTGGAAAACTGTAGAAGTCAGCACTATCTGCACTCTCTCAGTATTTGTTGCTGAACATTCCCGTCACCTCACAGTTTTGAATGCCTTATTAGCCAATGAACCAGAGTGAGTATTACCATATACGACGTAGCACACTTTTATTATACAATGATCGGAATTATCGAGTGTGGAAAACAGCTAAGCACGATTGGGAGGATGAAATCTAGTTGCGTTTAGAATCTGCTCGAAAAGGCCACTATGTTAGTCAAGCCAAGTGCTTGAACGAATGAGGTATGGATTTTATTGAAGTCCCCGGCGATGACATCGACTGAGCGGCCAAGTTTAGGTAGTAACGCTGAGGATAGCTCATCTGCAAAAGCCTTCAAGTCTGATGCTTGTGTGTCGAGGGACACGTATACATTCCCAATAATAACAGAAATAAAACCACTCAAAAACTTTGGCTTACATTCAAGTAAATGACAGCTGATTGCGACTTTGGTGTAAGCAACAAATATATAGTTGACGAGTTACACCAGCGTTGATGGACGTCAGTGATGGCACTCCTTCCACGATCTTGAGGCATTCCGTGGCGGTCGGCTCTGATGGGAAGATAACCAGCAAGTTGAATAACGTTGTCTTCTACCGCAGCATGTAACCGGCATTCTTGTAGCATCAAAATGCTTACATTCGAATATTCAGCTTGTTGTATAAAAGCTTTAAAATCCGCCACTTTCCAAGGAGTGCTCGAATATCGCTGAATAAGATCAGTGGAATTTGTGTCTTGTCTACTGAACGATGTCTAAGGCTTACTTGCCAGCCAGCACGGTGCTTTCTCAATTTACAAAAATGTTTCTGCATAACTCGTTTAAAAGTATTTCGTACTTTGTTAGCATACTGAATAACACGCGGATGGGGAGAAGTGTATCGCGGAGAAACTTCAAAATGTTGACGGAATAGGACAACCTCGAGCTCAAGAAAGAGTCCAGCTAAACAAACTGGCAGAGGTGTTTTGTGAATTGGATAATTCCGCAGTAGCTAGAATAAAAAAGCTCTTCATGGAAAAGAGCGACGATCATTCTGAATGCCTCGCTTGTATCATACTGAAATTTCGTACTCGATTATATGAAAACTGACTAGATATCATATATTAACCCTGTTTACAGTCCATTGGGCTATATACAGGGCATTTTAGGAATGCGTTTAGGGCTACACGTTTCAGATTAGCCCAAAACTGGAAATCCAACGAAATCAGTCTTAGTATCCTTCACATTTGTCTAAAAGCAGGTAAGGTTGTTCTTTTCCTTCAAAATCCCACCCTATTATACAAGCTCTCGCAGGTTCACTTTAAACTGAGTATGGGGTTTCTCGATTACTGTGGCGGTAAGGTAACCTGGCTTTCGCTCACCTCATGTCAAGCAGCTGCTTGCAAGTGAAGTGCTAACACCTCTAGACGAATTGCCTGCGACTGATTGCGATTACATGTGTATCTTCGAATATGGGCGGAGGACGTTCTTAGCTAATTGCAAATCTCCCAAAGCTTGTCATCACCTAATTCTGCCTTCGTGCTCGCCAAACTCTTTTACTCCCACTTTTTGATACCATTTGGTGGCCCCTCACTCCATAACCAACATCCATTCAACCGGCTCCTTTCATATACATTGCCTAGCCAAAGAACTTAGCATGGAAGTTCAAATGGCGACTTGACTTTTTAGTTTGAGCAGCTAAAAAATATCGTCCACCCGAAATGTGCTTTGTCTCTTTCTCACTTTCTGTTCCTTGCCAACCCCATGTTCTAGCTGCAATTTGTACAAAACGACTTTATCTCCCTTAATGCGATCAATGGGAGAACTAAGTCCTCTCTCTAATCTTGGTCACATCATATCGTTATACCGATGGTAACGGGAATCTGCCATTATGTGCCAATCACATCACAGGTTGATACAGTATCCCCTTCCAGCATAAGCGCTCATATTGTGTTGCATGTTGGTTACCTAATGGTTCCCTTGACTGGCTCTTAAGTGACCTGGGTGATCACGCCGTTTTCGTTACCTAGAAAGCATAATGCGATAACCCAACACAGGATATCCGATTAATGAATGTTTTCCTGTGATTCCGACTTGTGCACTCGTAGCACAACAGATAATCTAGGTGCGATGTCAGTTTAAAAGGCTCCTCGACGCTGTGAAGCAGCGAGCCTCCAAGAACCACAAAGTCGATCGAGAACGTCAGTGGATAGCCATGTTCCCCGAGATTGCGAAGCATAATATCATGAGGAACGGTTGAACACTGTACTATTTCCCCCGACCATACGAATACAAGAATTGCCCTCGTTTCTGTATGAGTCGCGACTGCACTGTTCTTGCACAAAATATGGATATTTTCCATCTCCATGTTTTGTTTGATTTCATATTGAATGGTCTGCTGCACCAGCTCGGTGCTTACGGCAGCTCGGGTTGTTTCATCCTTGTTCATCCTGGTTGTCTTAATGTTGGTGGGATGCTCTGTTGGTTGATCGAAATATACTGAATTCAATCCAAGCTAATCGTTTATGCACGCTTAGACTATCCACTATGTCCGCTGTCACCGCTTCTTGGTCTGTCGATACAGATGACGGTGTGGAGTCCTTCATTCTGATGTTCTCCTTTCTGTTGTTAAACCTGAAGCTGGTTGTTACCCATTTTTATGTTGCTAGTCTTTACCATCGTAACATTTCTTCTCACTTGTCTTGCTGCCAACGTCCAATTTCAGACCACAAGTCATCCGGGATCTGGTCAAATCAAACCCGTGTCTTTCACCGATGTTGAAACTCTACTGCGTACAGTCAGTGCAGCGCATCTGTTTCACCTTGTTTTTGCACATCACTTTATCAACTTTTCACAATGTGTTGTTGCGAAGTAATGGTCTTTAGATGCTGAAGATGGTTATTCTTCTCTAACTTCACGTTACATCCGTTTAAGCGCTGTAGTTGAACCGTTACTCTGCCCTTAGTATTAACCGTCAAGATGCTGCATTCGACTCGTTTGATGGACCCACGTTTTTTGCGCCGCTTACTAAGGAACGCGGTCCCGGACTAGTACACTACCATCGTGTGAGCATTCTACCTCTTCGTCTCCGGCAAAATGGGGGTCTATATCAAACTTTTATTGTCCTTCGCTGTCAACAGTGATGTACGACAGAGCTGCCCTATACCCCTGCTCTTGTTCAATGTCGCAATTGAAGACGTCTTGTCGAAAGCTCCATAAGGTTTAAAAAATTTTGACCTGCTGCTGCTACCGCGTAAGCATGCGAGCGACCGACTTAGACTATACTGATGATATCACGTTACTTGGTGACGACCCGTAGAGTATAAAAACTATTCTGAGACGATCGAGGCATCTAAGTGTAGAATGTGCTTCGCCTCGTCGAAGTGCTGCTCTAGAATTGGCACGCACGTTCCCATGCGTATTCTTAGTTATACAGCTTGAACACTTTTATAGACTGTTTACCTAGACAACTGCATGGCTGCTGGTGGCACTACTGAAGGGGAAGTTTTACTCCGCATCGCCAAGGCGCAGTCAACGTTTGTCAACTGGAAACACATGTGTCTTAGCTTGGATGTCTCCTTCTTGGTAAGGGGTTGTGTTTACAATGCCACCGTTCGGGCGGTGTTGCTACATCAAAACGAGTTATAGCCAGTTCGCTTGGATGACATGCGCTGGCTGACGGCTAACGACAATGGGTGCTTAAGGAGAATTGCTGGAGTGTGGTGACAGCAACGTAGCAGCACCGGTGAAGTCAGACGTCGTGTATTAGGAAATGCGAGTATTCCCTTCTACAAGCTGATTTCACTGTGGCAGTTATGTTGGCTCGGTAACGTCCTGCGTGTAAGCCGAGCGTTTGCCCCATCGCGCCCTGTTCGATCGTGCAGGACTCGGCTGGAAGAGAGCACGCGGTTGTCAACCGTCCACCTCACAACGGCATATGAAATTGTTGGATCCGCATACCTGCCTGCTTCGGGAGCAAAGGACGAAAAGTACTGATGGCTCGAATCACTGCGATATAGCACGCAATCGTAACTAGTGCAAGGTCGGTGTACATACTTGCTAAGCTTCGGATGTTTAATGCCAAGCAACTGAAGACAAAAAACCAGCAGATATATGCAAAATAACAGAATGTCCCGTTTTTCTTTCCATTATTGTGTTCATCATCTTCCGTCGACTCCTATGGTTCTGAATGCCTCTATGTCCATTCATTTGACTTTTGCATGTATATGCAGGTTACCATGCGCTCTAGGAGTTCTCCTCCCTAGGTGCTAGTATCCATACGGTGACCGGAGCTCAAAAGCATTGGAACACGTTCATTTGTGTAGTACGACAGTGGTTTGCAGTCTCACTCACCGGTAATTGACAATCTATGAAAACCTACTGTCCGACCTTAGTGCCGCTCGAATTTTCTTCAAACCTTTGTGTGAGTGTTGCTGATTGTGAATGTCAGCAACACATAGGTCGTCCAGTTAGCCCTCCTCTGTATCCACAGTTGAAATGCCACAAACACGTATGTATGTGTGTCGGATTCGAAGGAACACTAATGAATCCTTTAGATTGGTAGCCTATCCTCAAACATTCTCATCTTAAAAGTCAGCGGTAGTGGTGACGCCGCTAGCGTAAATGGGCCACGTTAACTTTTGGCTACCAAGCCCTTGCTGTTTACAATGTTCCACATTCGTCCGTGCATTCGATTGAACACTTGGGTGTAGTGATCAAGTACTCTACAACGTCTCGCTTTGGAAAGGAGTTTGGAAATTCAAGGCCCAACAATTTTTGTTGCAAGTGTCCACACGTTGACTCGTCCGTCTAAGCTGATTAATTCCGACAAGTAACTGACTAGCGATTAACGTGCTGATGTTGATACCACATGTTCTCTTTCATATATTAGTCACGAGAATGATTGTAGCTGTTTATCCATCATACTGAACTTAGGTGCGCTTAGGAAAAGGCAGCTATTATCGAGATAAGCTGCAGAAGGGCAAAGGTGCCTGCTACAATTTGAATTAGAATTGGCCAATTATCTAGATTGACTTAGAAGTAGGTTAGTCCAACTAGGATGGTATGGTAGTGTTTAAACAAATAATTCATTGAACAATTAATCCATGCACAAAAGCGATTGATTTGTAGCGCAGAATAACTTTGACCGGCATGTATGATGACAGATTGTGAGTAAATTGTGAGCGGCAGAATTAGGATGAGAACCGCAGACTGCATGGGAATATCATACGTTAGCGAACCATTTTATCTGCCCCGTCTGTCGAGGCACTTGATAACCAATTATTTGTCTACCCTCATGCGATTAACTATGCAATGCTCAATGTTTTCATTGCAAATCATAGCATGGATATAGATATTCTTTGTTTTCCTAGCCATGTCTGTTTCCATTCCAACACTCGCTGCTAGATACGTCACGTGTTAGATGCTGTGTAATCTGCCTAGGTGTCCAATCACATACCAATTTGAGAGATTCACCAGTCACAGGGGGTCATCCACCGTATTATTCCCTTCATTCACCATTTGCCCGGAGACACACTATACCCATCATCCTACGCGATCTAAAGCGAATCAATTGCATAGGGTTGTTGGATCTAGTAAAGGAGCTGATTTGCCTTCATCCGACGCATTGCAAAGACCCGGTTGCATTAGGACTGAGGTATGTACATATTGCATTTGAGTTGTATTTCATCTAATGGTACCGTAAATAAACGTCTCGGCTTCCTTTCTTGATTGGACCCGAGAGTTTTCACGTGTTACTCAAGTCTCCAAGCGAGTCTGTCGTTTACATAAATAGCTTATCGCCACCGTAGAGCATACAGTCACCTCTGCCAACGGTTGAGTAATTGGATGTTATGCACAGTACTTCTCGTAAATCGGCTAAAACAGTCTGAGCACTTTCCGAAAGCCGAATGTAAGACGACGCAGCAGGTTTTACTAGATATATTGTTCCTGTGACCGCGTTAAAGCGGTTTGTTATTACCGAATTCGAACGCATGTAGCAGACGGCATCTACAGCATGCAATAACGATAAGTCATCACTCTTTTACTGTACCTATTATTTGTACATCATTCCACCTGGTAACCATATTGATATCATTTGCTTCCTTATTCACATCTCTGTCTCTAGCTATTGTTGATGGCCACACTTCTGACTAAGTTTATGACTGCCATTTAGCTTCACATATAAACGGTAACTAATCACCGACAATCGTATTGGTTGCTTATAATTGTACGTGCGATCTTCCAACACTAGAGAGATATGGCTGTTATTATTACATTTAATCCGTACTCATGCACCTTTCCAGTTTTATTGCTTATGAGGGTTATTGTTTCTCCAATCCAATTTGTGGTAGTGAATATACAAGCGTGAACAAATCCGTACTCGCAACACTGCACTGTGTACCAGGGACCTCATGTGGAATAGCTAAGTAGAAGCCATTTAGAAATACTTATAAGCGCCATGCTTGACAGACTGATTGCATCTTCACTCGCGTGACGCCATTATCTGCTGGCTAAATGTCTAACTAGGACTCGCCGAAATTACAAGTCGCACAAACATCTGCTTGTGTCTCGCTACATTCTCACTTGACAGATGGGTCTTATTACATTTTTTCTCGTGTGACACCGTGACTTATTGCGGGTTGCAATATGAGGTCAATGTATCCCATCTAAATTGCCTCTATACACCCTCTTGTACTGCTTCCGTCTTCAGGTAAGCGCACTGAGATTCAGACAAGTCATCAAAGTTGATTCCGGAACAGCGGCAACATGATATGACATACAAATCGAAACGCTTGACTACAGATAACATTCTAGGCACTGATGAATTGGTCGAGATATGCTAGCGGTCAGAACGAATGACTAGGGGGGAATAAATAGTGACACACGACGGACTGCGTGGTGGTTCCACATACCAGTTACTTTTCGCTCACCTCGGACACGAGACGATCATATTTGGCTCTGGTTTACCTACCTGCAGTTAATACATGAGACGGCATTCACAACACACACCAACGATAAGTGTTATCACTGTTCCACTGGGCTTCGACGTACTCGTTAAAGTGAGCATATCTATACTTCCCGATCTTTCATCGCGGACTTTAACTTAGCTGGGCTTATAAAAATCAGTGGACTTGATCGCACCATTTCCCTACTATCTTGTAAAGTTGCTTAATCCATCTCCATCATCTTTCTGTTATCCTTATTCTATCGCACATGTAAGTCGCGCTTGGGGACAATTTCACTCTAGAATGTTTAACCACTTGGTGCTATGTAGTATATTTACTGCATCTGCCTAGAAAGTATGAGTCACATCTAACTTGCCTTTATAGGGCTTACCTAACTCGGTTGTATTTCGTGGTTATTTCACGTGTTGCCCACTACATTGTTGTACTCATCATCATCGATGATACCCTTGCTCATTTTTCAAGTGGAGTTTAGTACGGTGACATACCAAGACGGTGAGCTACGGCATCTTCCTCTTCGTACTATTATTCGGCCGCGATTCATATCACTATGTAGGCTCTATGGTATTGCTCACCAGACTATGCTACCTACATTCTGCTCCTTGAAATGGATTTGTAGATTACATGACCCTAGGTTGACCAGCAGCCCAATGCTAACTAGCACGACGCTTAGATAATCGATGTATCGCCGGACAAATGTTCGGTCTATCCATGTGCTCATTCGTATTTGACTTGCGCCCGGAGTTTCCGAGTGAACTGTGCTACTGATACAGATTTTTGCTTTACCATGCTGGATTCTACCTTTGCTTTGGAAATACTGTGTTATACGGGT